CGACTCCGCTCCTGGGGACCGCACCCCCTGCCCCACCAGCATTGTTCGTGCCGCGGAGCAGCGCGGTGGGACGGCTGATCAGCCAAACAGGCTGTCGAGCGGCCGAGCGGAACTGGGCTGTTGCAGAACAAATGGCTGTCTGTGGCTGCACCGAGCCCTGCCGTACGCAGCTCCGAGCCCTGCCATATGCCGTGCCGAGCCATGCCGTACACCGCAGCGGCCGAGCTCTGGCTCGATGGGGGGATGCTGGTGGGGACCAGTGAGGGATGCACAGCCGAGCATCATGGCACGGTGGGCAACACGGCACGGCACATGCCATTCCCGCTGTTTGACTGTCTGCTCTGCTTGCAGGTACAAGGAGGAACCTCCGCAACGACCTGCTGGTAGCAGCCGATTCCATCACCAACACCGTGTCGTCGCTGGTGAAGGAACTCCACTCAGGTAAGGGTTGATTCGGTGGCACGTACGTGCAGCAGGACAGGAGAGCTCAGAGCCACAGGTTGGAGATTGGTCTTGAGATTCATTTTTTATAAAAGCTATTTGAGGGGTAACGTGAGATTATGCATTCATCTTCCCAGTGATAAAATGAAAACAAATTTTTACAGCTAACAGCACTGAGAACTCCAGACACCCCCTGGACAGGCTTCCTAGGGGTTTTGTCACTGAGAGTCAGGCTCCTGCGGTAGCGCCGGGATGCATCCCGCAGCACTCAGGCCCCACCAGCAATGGTCAATGTGACCCGTCAGCACGCCAGCCGCTCACTTGCAGGCTGCCTTCTCTTCTAGGAAAGCAGTGAAGCATTCTGCATTCCAACTGAGCCTCACAGTTTCTGTTCCATGCCTCCCCCAGCCCCTTTCTGTATCTGGCAGTTGCATCACGTAATCCCCCAATAAACTTTCCGAGCTCCGTATTAAAACCAGTTGGGCTTTTTGTTCCCACTGCCCTTAATGGAGAAGTCGCAGTTATAAACCGGGTTGATATTTTACTGCTGAAGCAGTAAATTCACCCATTGTAAACCCCGTGTCTTGGCTGCAAAGGCAGCTGTGAGTTAATAAAGTCTTTCACATACGACAGCGGCATCGCCAGTGCCGTCGCAGCAAAGGGCCGTGTATTTCTCCACTAATTCACCGTGCTCGAGACACACAGCTCTCTTCCTTCTCGCCTGAAATGTGGGAACGAACCCTCTGCCTGGAACACATCTGCAGCGATTTATCTTTTCGCTTTTAATAGAAGAGCCGGTTTGGGGCAGTGCAGCGGAGCACAGGGTCTGCTCCAGGGGGCTGGTGGCAGAGCTGAAGGTCGGCTGGACCCGCAGCTCTCCTGCCCTCCTCTGAAATCCCCGGGAGCCCAGCAAGTGCAAGCAGCCCGGCTCTGCGCCATCAACAGCCCTTTCGGGGGGACCACGCAAAGCAGCTATGGCTCACAAGGGAGTGAAAACCCAATTAATTACAGTCTCCTGCTGGAGGGTGTGCAGACAGGAGAGAAGACTCCTGGGAAAGTATCTGAAACCAGTCGGTTTGGTTAAATGGGGAAGAGC